ATTAACATCTTGTTCAAAACTCAATTTTTATAAAATTCTCTGACACATTTTTCTGCTTCGAAATATTAAATAAAAATGTATGATGTCATTCAAACAAGTAAAAACTGAACATACAATAACCATAAAAATAATTTAAAAAATGTTATATTATAAAACCAGTTTTGTAACTACGTTGATACATACCTACTTAAAATTATCTAAAACGTTGAAACTTTTCGATAAAATGACTGTTAAAAAAACACTCATCCTCACCAACCTTTTGAAATAAAATCTCCCTGTTCATTGTATCTTTTTAATAATAATAAAGCCAAGCACTATATTGGAACAATCAATCGTATTGGAACAAACGACGATATATCTATTCTCGTGTATAATATTCCGTTGTATATAGGTACCTAGTATAATATTATGTACAATGAAACCAGACATGCACTTTCATTTTTCCCCCCTAAATTATACATCTGTTCCTACGTTTTGTTTACATCCATTGTAGACATAAATTCAAGTGCAGGGTTAATGAGTATGAATAATCCAAACACAACGGTCATGAAGTAATACACCCACCACATAATATGTATTTGCATATTTGAAAATAAAAAAAAATAGATGCAAATATGTTTGTGTAAAAATATTTTTAATTTCACTCACATTATAATACTCGTAGTCCTCACACTTGATACATACACTTCAATTAAAAACTATAAACTGTATACGATTTAATTAAAATACACCTTATTGGTCTTGCATACTTTGGTTTTTAAATGTGGTGAATTATTTTTAATAATATTACGAACATTATGTATATTTTTTAATCACGCTTCAACTATATTTTCTGAAAATTAATAATCATGATGACAACACTTTAATCAAACCCCTAATGAGAATATAATTATTTTTGAAAAATAATGCTTTTTTTATTTAAATTATAAGTATTTTATATATAGGTAGGTTAGCCATGTCTAAAAGGCTATGTTTTATAATAGTAATATTGTTTAGCCGTATTTTTCAATTATTGTATTTTCAAACAATTTATATGCGTAGAAGTTTAACCTATTACCTATTATATAATAATATTCCTACGTCATATTTTTGACATTTGATAAATTAAGAATGACATTTGAATGACTTTAACAAACCCGAATGAAATAATATGATAATTTCAAAACAAAAACACACGACTCGGCGGTTGCTTATTGTGTCAGTTATAACATGTACATAAATACTGTAATAATTGATATTCTATGATCATATTGTTTTTATTAAATTGAGAATCAGCCGATAGACCTGCGGGCTGCGACGATGCAAAACAACACAGGGCAGTTCCGCAATTTTCTGAAACGAACAGCGAGTGGCCTGTGAACAATATAATATTGTATAATGAATAGGTTATTGTTATTTAATGTATAAATGTATATTCATTCGGAATTATGCTATACATAAATCGTCAGCGTTTACAGAAATATTATTTGTTACCTAGGTACTATTGAGCAACCGGATGACAGTTTAATGAAGCAGAATAATAATTTTCCCACCGCGATTCGTGTGGTATATACCTATACTATGTAAGACGTAGGTGTAATATTACGATAAAATTTTAAAAAAATAAAACAATATCGCGAAAGAACGGGGTCACGAGGCTGCCATTCTCACTGCTGTGGCCCAACCACTGTGTTGGTTATAATATTATGTACGTCCGTCGTTCGTAAACATATTATTCGTCCGAGTGCATAGTACTATAATATTATGATTTGTATGCATACAATACGTCTCATATTATGTATGTGTAGAATATTACTGTAGTTTCTTTCGGGGCATAATATAATTGCACACGGCACACGCGACATTGTGTTCGACGGGTCATTGTTCGGGCCGGCACAGGTGGTTGTTGTTAATCGTATTGTATTTTTATTTTTTACACACACACTGCTGTAGGTGCCTATACCTATACCATAGAACAGCCTATGCCTTCACAACTCGCCGCCAATAATCAAACACAATTGTTGCACTTTCGGATCCGGTGCGACCTGTACGTCCGTCGTCAGGTGCACATAATATTATTATAATTATTATCGTTTCCGAAGAAATCGTACGATACGAATTATGCACAGGATATAATGATATATTATTGAAATAATTGTATAGGTTTCGCGTGTTGTGTAGACGGATATTAATAATATAATATCATACGGTGGCGCTATACAGTTGACTGAGGTCGTCGACAATATTATTGTGACTGTCACAAACTTGGGCGGCCAGTCGATTTGTTTATGCACGTCGATTGTCGTCCGGAACGCCACAGCGCTTCCGTACATTATAATAATAATAACAACAATAATAACAATGATGTATGATACAGTATAGGTACCTACACGGGCCGAACAGGCACTGTGAGTCCACGTCTAGTTAATTATTCATAGCATCGGTGGTAATATTATTTTGGTGGTTGTGCGAGATGATTGACGAAGTATTATTATTATAGGTACATGATACGTGGTTGATATTATTATCCTTGTATATTAAGTGGAATTTATTGATTTATACACGAATACCCATAATGTGTTCATTCATAATTCATAAACCGTGTACCTACTTACCTATAATAGTTGATATACTATATTATTAGAGTAAAACGAATTGTATATTTTATATATTACAGTAAAAGCAAGTTAAATCGAAATATATAGTACTTATATTGACGTACAGTCTTGTTAAGAATACTTTTCAAATCTATTCAGAATACGTATTTAAATACTTGGTGTAATTTTTATTTAAAATATGTATTAAAAATACTTACATAAATACTTTTTTTTTAAGTTCAATAAATGAATAATTAATAATCAATAATTCAATCAATCCAATGACTAGTCGACTAACCACTTCTACCCACGGAATGAAGTACTACTATTGAATAGTTTCTTTAATCAAGCCAACCAAACCCTCTTATGTATCCCACCATCTATTGTGCTCATTGTAAAAATATTTTATACAGATTGTACAAGTTAAAATAAATATGACAAAAAAAAAAAGTCCAATTACATTAATACCAAAATCTTATATTCAAATTATAAACTACTACACAGTACCACCCATCAAATAAGAAGAAAGGCTATTTAAAGATTCAAGATAAACGCCAATTGGGATGACAATCGTACGGGAGTGAAGAGCCGACGGGGGTTTCAGTGTTCAGTCATTCTGTTATCTGCTTGTATTTTGGTGAAACCTTCTTTATAATTTATCAGAAGTTAGAAGCATTTTAAAATAATATTTTAGAATCAAAGTTTAAAAATAAATACATAGTACGTTCCGAAATATTCGTAATTGGAATTTGGAGTAGACAACGAGAATGGAAAAAAGTATTTAGTATTCCATAATAAAATTACAAATAAAAAGTATTTGAAATACAAAAAAAGTATTTAAATACAATTATTCGAATACTTAACAAGACTGTTGAAGTGATCATAATAGCATAAGTCATAATAATATTATGGGCATCTTATTATGATAGTATGTAAATTAGGTCGTCCTAATTTGCAAATATCGTAACTCCAACATAATTACTATTTTTCAAGAAGAACAAAAAACATCTCTGATCTCTGATCTCATTCGTTTAAAAACATTTTTATTGGTTCTTGAACTATATACGACATTACTATGTTTTATTTAATATCAATAATTCAATAAATAAATAATATTGTAAGCTTGATAAATAATTTATAGTTTATTAAAAGTTATGGAGGTACGACAATTTCTGTTAATTGGAGTTGAGCTATAATTTATTCGGAACTTTAACGACTGGTTCATGGTTTTAAACGAAGCGTTATTTTATTTTCTAAAATCGCCGTTTCAGAGTTACGATATTGGAGGCCAATTTATATATATTATTTGGTATTCGGTTAAAATGTGTTAAATTGTTAGGTCCACAACAAAGGATTCACAGAATTTTTCCTTTTTCACAATGAATCCATTTAAATGTATAGGATATATATATACCTATCTGTTTATAATTTATTAGTAACGATAACTTATAAATTCTTTAAAAATATAAATTAAATGCATTTTTTTCTGAAATAAAATAATAATAATATGATATTAAATCATCATACTCGTTCCTCTTTCGTTAATTAACTAACCAAATTAATACATATTATAATCAGGTGAAAAGTATTCATTTAAGTGCGTACACCTACAAGCAAGCATTAACTATTGACTATTTGTAGGTAGTTTTTCTCTACAGAAATAAAGTGTCAGGTTAAATAATTAAAATACAATGCATATATATTATTATTACCACATCAGAGTATTAAATATTAATTGTATAATTTGTATGAAAATCTTGGCTGAAAATGTGAAACACCGGGTGGTGGACCACGTAGAACACTAGATAATATTACGGATGAAAATAGTCATAACTCATAAGAAATAAATAAATATTCGATCTCAATCGAATCAAGTCACTCTCCTCTACCGGGGAGATACGCGTTTTGTCAAAATCTTATAATGTTACCTACTCGTTTTTATTCTAAGGCAGATAACTATTGTGTAATCGCGCGAAGGTCGATCTAGAATATCCACGCTACGGAAAATCGGTACTTAAGTAGTTCTGCCGAACATTATTACGATTTTTACGTTCGTGAAAATCCGTGTATTGTACACAACAATATGAGAATAATAATGCCCATTATCATCACTATTATAATGATATCATGCGCTGCGGACCGGTCTTATATTATTATATGGTAAAATATGACAAGCGTAGAAAAGAAAGTCAACCTTCGTCGACCTTGGTCGTTTTGACTTCACAGAGTCGAGGTCTATTTGACTTACCGGGGCGCTTCAATTGACAGTAAAATCTGTCGAAACTTGCAATATGCGATTCTCACACGCTGTTACTCCATACACCGTGCGAATTTTCCATCGCTTTCGCACGCGGACTCGCCGCCCACCCGAAGTCTATTTAGGCGACCCACACCGTACCGGCCATTGTCACTACACCCGGAGCAATGGTCTCGTCCACAGCCGTCCTGCAGGTATCTATCTATAGGTCTGTCCGTGTACATGTCTTGCTTGCTGTCCGTCCGTCATTCTGTCTTCTGTCTGTCTGTCTGTTCTACACTCTAATGTTACGTTTTTGCAGGTACTGTTTTTGGCATGTGTCGTGGCATCCGGCGAGTCGCCGGGCGCGGAAACCGACGTCAAGCGACCCGAACCGGTGTCCACGGTGACTGCAGCCACCGACGACGACTCCGGTCAACGCGGGACCTCTCCACCGGCCACACAACCCAAAGACGTGTCCATCCTCAAGCAGATCAACAAGGTGAACGACGACGGTTCGTATACGTTCGGGTACGAAGCGTCGGACGGCAGCTTCAAAGTGGAGACCCGCGACGTGGCGGGCAACGTGAAGGGCATGTTCGGGTTCGTGGACGACGTGGGGCGTCTGAAGCGCGTGTCGTACTCGGCCAGCAACTCGTCCGGGTTCCAAGCGGCCGGCAGCGAGTCTCCCCGACCGTCGCCGGACCCGACGGCCGCGTCTGCGGTGCAGACGACCACGGTTCGTAGAAATAAAAAGGATGACGGCGGCGGCGACGAGTCGGACGGTGGAAAGTCAGCGGCGGTTGGAGTGAAAAAGGTGCTGGTGTCCAAGAGACCCGTCGTGGTGGCCGCGGCGCCGGAATTGCGGACGGAGACGGAAAATGAGGTGGACGACCATCGACGGCGAGGTGGCAACGACCTGCGAAGGCAGCTGCCCAGGAACGAAGACGGAGACGCACCCGACGTGTACGGCGTGCACGGCCGGTCCAGTCTCCAGGAGTCGGGACCCGTGTCACCCGTCGTGTCGGCACTCATGTCCGAACTGATGCCGGTCAGGTCATACGGCCGTCCGACGGGGCCGCCGCCGCCATCACCGCCGATCGGAAACGAAGACGCAGTCAGCAGCAGACGGGCGGCGCAGGAGCTGCAGGAAGATGAATACGAAGACGGACAACAGTACAACGGTGGCCCGACGACGGTTCAGTACCGCGGGAGGCGGCCTCCCGCCGCGCTGTACCAGCAGCGTACATCGTACCCGACGGTGGCTTCAACGGCGGCGTACCAACAACAGCGACCGGTCGCGTACCTCGCACCGCTGCCCCAGCGCGGTCCCAGTCTGGTGGCTCTACGGGACGAGCTCATGGAGCTCATACTGTCGTTCGTGCAGGCTCGCGTTTCGCAACTCGTGTCCGTCGCCCCTTACCCCGCGCCCGCCCCGTACCCTATGCCTTATCAGCAGCCCAACTACTACGTGCCCAATTACTATCAGGGGCCCCGGATGCCCGGTCCGACGACGGAACAGGCCCAAGAATCGTCACCGATAGTCACGCAGACGCTCAAGGACGGACTGATCCGGATGCTGTTGTCCACCAGCCCGCGATACGACCCGGACAGGATCAGCGAACGTTCGACGACCCGGCTGGCGTACCGCAGTACCAGCACGCAGCCGACGCCCGTCAGGAGCGTGCAGATCGTCAGTGGCGGCAACGACGATGACGACCGAGATGTGGACAGCAGACCGGTGACAACCGAAACTCCGGACTAGAGCTGCCGCTGTCTTATTATTAAAGTTGTGGCTAGTGAGTTGAAGTTAAAAAAAAGTACAGTTAATTATTATTTTATTGTTGTTATCATTATTATTATTAGGTACTTAGGTATCACTTTTATTACGAGCATTATTATTACTATTATATATTGTGTTTTTTTTTATCAATAAAATAGCTTTGAAAATCTTTTATTGTCCGCGCAACCGCTTATATTGGAATAGTGTTGTTCTATCATGATATTATAATGATTATTGATTTAATATAAACACTTGAACGCCGGCCTGATACAGTTGTAATGGTGTATTGGTGTAGAATACCATTAATTGTCATCAAACATTTGTCTCGACAGACTACGATAATAAAATACTTAGGTAGGTACTAAAATGAATAAAGTACATAAAGAATAAACTGTTTGGTAAACAAGCAAATCATGTTTTATATGCAACAGAAATAATAAGAACATTTTTTATCGAAACAAAGATATTTTGTACATTTACTATACATACTATATATACTATACATTCATTTATTTTTAAGTAGTTTATTCTTTTTATTTTTTTTACTTCTGCGATATTTACTTTATATACTATTATAACTTATTATAGGTAAGGAGTTTTGATTTTTAGAAAACGTATGACTATTTAAGTACTTATTAAATTTTTTTAACTGTATATTTTACATTGTGTGGTATGATTTAAATTATGTTCATGTTTTTATAATCATTTAGCAAGCTTTGCATTGTAACCTACGAAAATAGTTAACTGTCTTTAGATTCATCAAAACCAAGTTTAATTATTTTAATTGATCACTTATAGTGATAAATTTTAGGGTAGGTACCTATCTTCTTAAACATGTGATAAATTTGATGTCGTACCTCATTTTATACTTTCCAGTATCCACTGTCTGAAATTGATTATGGGCCAGTACATTTTTCCAAGGATGCTACTGTCAAAAACAAAAAGTATATCTCCTTTCTCTTTAACATTTCATATACCATATCTCATACAGATATACCATTAATATTATTTATTATTACTGTTGAAGAATAATCACGACAACACAAATTTTTAAATTTTTCTTCACTTCTCATAACATCATAAGTCATAAATCAAATTTAAACATATTTTTTGTTCGTCTTTGTACACCGAATACTTATTTAACCAAATAATATTTTGTATACCTTACGACCTGTTAAATAATACGCATTCCAATAATCCACTTAAACGTTTAAGTAGACAGCCAAATTCAGTTAAATAAATTATATCTTACAATAGGTACGTTTATGTATTACAGTATTTCTACATATTCAAAACTGTACATTAAATATTTTTTTTATACATTTAATATAATATATAATATTTAATTCAAATTTATCTTTATTATACATTTTCAATATTTTTTATTGATAAACCACTTTAACTTAACTTTTAATTCAAATCGAGCATCTAGCCCAATATGGTAATCACAATTAGTAAATCAAATCACTAACCAAAAACAAAAAATATAAAAATGTATTCCAACATAATAGGTAATATATAATATACCTAGATACTATCCTTTAGACTATAGTTATTATTTTATTATAAAACCAATTTTTAATTCAATTATACTTGCTATATTAGTTGATAACCGTTAATTTTGAATGATCGTTCTGATATGTTAATTTGAAAATATAAATTAATTGTATACATATATTAAATACATTACACTTGTAATAATATTGTAATAGTAAAATTATATTTACAGTCAAGGTGGTAAGTGAAAAATTGCATGTTATCATACAAAATACAATATTTATTGATACTTAAATAAAATAAAATATCAATATCAATAATATTATATATAACTATACTGGTAATGTATATTATACAATGTATCATAATTTATAAAGTCATTAGTCATTACTATAAAGGATATTTTCATATAACTGTAAGCAATGTACTATAATTTTTCAGACTTTTCACTATTTATTTTTAGATTCTGAGTGAAACGATGAATGTATTGATTTTACAATGATGTGTGTTTTTTTTTTATTTTTGTGTCTGTGTACACGATAAGTAATCGAAATAATGCTTCGATTTTCGACTTCAGTATCTTGTTCGATTGGAAAGTGAATATCGTTGGTGCATTGGGGAGGTCAAAATTTAAAATTCCCAATAGTTTTCACAAGCGCCGGGAAAAACAACATAAAAATTAAGGAAAAACGGGAATTTTTACGCAAAATCGGTTTTTGACAAAATCGAATTTGGTTTTTGGTGTAACTTTAAAACAAATGACCGTAAATACATGAAATTTTCACTGGTTGTTTATATTTGCATTTTCTATATACGATAACATTTTCAAAATATTTTGATTTTTGAACTGTTTAGGGACATTTTCATTTTTCATTTTTTTTAAGTTTTTTTTTCTAGAAATATCAATACAATTTTATTTGTTGGTTAAAAAAACTTGAAAATTTAATAGAAGACTCCTAGTATATTGTTTCAAAGGCAGATGAAAAATATTAAAAATCGTTAGTCACAGTTTTTTTTTATAAGCATTTAAAGTTCAAAAATTGACAAAATATGGAAAAATCACGAAAATTAGCAAATTATTTTGAGTTAAGAATTCACAAAAATTTTTCTTTTTAAATCTAAGATTTGAAAATGTAATACAAGATTACTCATAAGTTTGTCTACCTTTATCAATAAAAAAATCTCTACCGGACAAACAAATTAAATTTTTATGAGCGTTTGAAATTCAAATTTTTACAACATTGGATGTTCACTCGATTTCTCATGTAGCGATTTCCCTATTTTGTTGTTATTCATAAACGAATAACTATAGATACATGGAAATTTCACTGAATGTTTATATTAGCATTTCCTGTACACCATACAATTTTGAAAATATTTTGACTCTTTTTGAGCTATTTACGGATATTTTCATTTTTCAATTTTTTTATTTTTTTTTTCTATGAATATCAATAAAGTTTTATCTGTTGTGCCAAAAAGTGTAAAAATTTAATACAAGGCTCCTGATATATTGTTACAATATCAGTTGAAAAATATTAAAAATACATAGGCACAGTTTTTTTTATAAGCATTTAAACATCGAATTTTGACAGAATTTTTCAAAATCTCGAAAATTATTAATCATCGTAATTAATAAATTATAAAGTTTTTATAGCTAAGGATTGAAAATTTAAAATAAGATTCCACGTAAGTAGTTAATTCTCTTACCAAAAAATCTAAAAAATATACAATCACAGTTTATTTTTATAGTCATTTTATGTTCAAATTTGGACGAAATTACATATTAAAAAACCTAGTTATTTTGTTGTGATTATATAAAATTATTCGTGGGTACCTACTTGAAACTTCTAAAGTGTACTATTATAATATATCAATGATAGTATCAGGGTTTGTTATTGATGTTGATGTATAACGTGTTATAAGTACCTAATGGATATTGTGATAATGTGATATGATTAATTTGGAATTTATTATAGGTCAATTTTTTTTTTTAATACCATAGATATGTATATAATTTGTCTTAAACCTAGACTGACATACCGTCTTCGCTCAGAATCGTTTTTCTTATACAATGATATTGTATCATTGAATTCAAATTTAATACCATCCATCATACAGTGACCCACTTGTAACCTACAGTACAGCAGAGCGACATCCACTTACCCACCTTTTTTGTCTTAAAAATACCTTTTTAAGACATAAGTAGGCACTAATTTTTTTTTTTTTCGACATCGAATACATATAAGACATTACTCATTTAAATTATAGGTACGATTCATAGATTAAGTAGGATTTTAAAATTATTTGACCCCTATTTACGAGTTTTTTTTCAATAATACACTTGCCATGTAAAAATGTGACTTTGAAAGTTACAGTACAAAATAATTAATAAATATATGGTGTGTGATGGTTAACTATACTACATTATACAATTTTAAAAATATTCCTCTAATTTTGAATACTTACATTATGATATTTTTAAGTATCAAAAACCAAATTATAGCTTTTTTTATTTCTTTATTCACTTGCCTCATGCATATTATATATTAAATATTGAACAAGATGATTTGATTTTGCACTTTCCTCAGAAACTGGAGCAATTGAGACATTTTAATTAGGTAATTATAAAAATGTTTTATTAATAATGCATTTTCACGTTACCTATACTTAATATCCTACTTGACCTTACAATATATGCTTTAAAACAATGAGGAAATATGATAATTTTTTAATAAATACAATATTAATGAATAATGATATAATATTATGTATGTAGACCATTGAACCATACAGTGATAGAACCTAACTTTTTTTTTAGACTATGCAATAAGTTTATGATTTTAGTTTAATATAGGTCACTGCAAAATGTTTTTAGTTGATAGATATACCGTGTGTTCAATTTTAAAGGTAACAGGAAATATTTCGATCGTTTGGCCTTGAATTTGATTCGGGGTTTTTATACTGCATATAGGACTCATAAATACATATTTTTTTTAATAAATTCAAATTTTTTTATTTTTATTTTATCAGCGCATGCGCAGTAAAATAAAAATTTCTTAAATAGCAACCACTATTTTGGAGACCAGATTTCGATTTCTTTATTTTTTCTGAACAACTTTGATCTTTACAGTTTGTTGATATCTTCAAAATTGCCATGCTTATGACGGTCGGAAATTTTAAAATAGTTAATTCGTAAATAATTGTGTGGTGGATGATATCTCTCGGGATATCGTTCAGCATAAAGTGCCGCTGCGTTACGCGAATTTTGATGACATTCTCCAAAAATTAATACCATATCGGTTTTTTCGGAATAGTTTGCCATTGTACAGAAAATAATGTGTCACGCGCGACTTACGAAAAACGTTTGACTATTCACAATCAATTTTAGAATGCTATCAAAATATCTTATTCACACAGGTTAATAGTATAACTTTCATTATAATACTATTAAAAACAAATTAAGATAATAGTAGTAGATAATTTAG